TCTCTCAGCTGGGTCTAAATGTATAAACTAATCATATTCAAGAATTTTACAATAATTGTAAAGCTGCTTTTTCTGCTGAACACAGCCAATATTGCGAAAGCCGCGCATTACCCCGCGATTTGCCGCGAGAGACAGTTTGCGGATCTCGCAATAGATTCAACGCGAGGGTGCAACGCGGATCATTTTGCAAGCGATCTATCAGCGTGCATCATATGGTGCGAGCGTATGCAAATACGAGTGTCGGTCGCTGCATGCTAATATAATAGGAACATTCTACATTTAGATATCTCTGAATCGACGCGCGTGCCCGCATAGAGGCAAATATAATTCCTCAAATTTTAAGTTTTGGCAAAAGAAATTTGTATGAAAAACACAAGAACTATCTTAACATGATTTGTCATTGTTTTGATTACATGCTTTCGTTCTCTTCCGTTTTTCTTATTAGGGTTACTTGTTAAGACACTGGTATACCCTATCGTTAGCCACATCGGTGCCTTTCATTCTTCTCTTCAGTTACTACTGGATCATCCCCGAATCGCCACGATGGCTTCTCAGTAAGAATAGAATAGACGAGGCGGAAGCGATCGTCCAACAAATGGCAAAAGTCAATGGCAAAACAGTGCCTACGAATTTTCTTAGAAAGATGGAGGTAATTTAATATTTAATCATCAATTTGCTTAATCATTCTTTCGCTTAATAATATCTTTTAGCTCGAAATAATAGCTCTCTGTTAAGTAATAACGACTCTGTTTAATTTGCTTAACAATCATACGAGCCTTTACACTCTAACTCTTTAACTCTAATAAAATATCTTATTCATTTATAAAATATGAATAAAATATTTTAATTTTGTTATTATTCTGTTAATATATCACTCTCTTACTTCAAAAGTGTCAAATCAAAGAATTAAGCTGTAAAACTGTTTTTTTGTTTGACTAATTAAATAATAACAGAAAAAAAAGTCATTTTCTCAAAATGTCATTTTTATTATTTTTGTATCATAACTTTTAAAAATTATGCTTTTTGAATTGTGACTATTTTAACAATTTTTTTATGAAGTTAAGTTAGTTCACTTTTGACAATTAATGGATAGTGGATAATTTATTTTTCTCATTTATGATAATAATTGGAAAATCACATTTTTGAGTTATCACTTTTGAAGTAAAAGAGTGATATGTAGGATGTCACATATAAAATTTGCGACTCAAAATACTGTAGCAAGCTAGTTCTCGAAAAATTGATAAAAAAATTATTTATAAAATTTATTTTAAGTAATAATTTTTGAAATAATAAGAATTATGTAGCCAATTGTAGATGTTTAGCTATATGTCCGTATAAATCTCGTGTGCTAATTTAGTGAGAGCTGATAAGCGTAAACTTTAGCGCGTTATTAATATTCACAGGTGATTATTTAAATATCTATAATTAGTCACATTTAAACTCTTATATCTCAGAAATTATTGTTTAAAATAAAAATTTATAAATAATCTTTTTCACTTAATCTTTCGAAAACTTTCTTGTTATTTCGATTTTCGCGAATTTTAGGATACTCTATATAAGGATTTAACTCCATTAGCAATGTTATTTACAGATAGAAATATTAAAGAGGCAAGGGATATCATGTAATGGCAGAAATTCCAACGATATCGACTTGGAAGGTGAAAACAGGGCGACGCCGTCATCTGCGACACCCATGGACTTGATTACAAACCCAAATATCAGGAAGAAATTCTTCATTCTCGCTTTCGATTGGGTAGCAAATGCAGTGGTATACAATGGGCTATCTTACAACACGACCAATCTGGGTGTCTCTGATTACCTAGCCTTTTTCATTGGTAAAAGTCTTTTCTCTCTTGATCCCCAAATTGTTTATTAACACATGAATAAGTGCATCACGATCTCATACATTTCTGATGTACTAGGATGAAAAAAGTATTGTATAATTTTTTTTATAAAATTTATTAAATTAGGGAATCTCACTATTCCCTAACTTAAAAATAACAATAAAAAATAAAAGGGCTCGTAGGAATAAGTGTTCAGAATGTGCTAATTGTTTAAAGAAATCTCTCAATATAAAATGAATTTATATATGAAGAGATGACAGAACAATCAAAAATCGTTAAACGATAATAATTTTCGTAGTATGATACAATATATATATATATATATATATA